GCTATGAGTCAGAATCAACTGGACAGCAATCGGATTATTTAATTTTGTATTGTGATTATTGTTGAGTCTTGCTCCTTTCTGTATGCTACTCAGTCACTTGAATTGCCTTTTCTGTACCTCAGGTGAAGAGAGTTGAGGTGATTAGATCTTGGATTTGAGATGACACCCTAATGAGATGAGATGTTGAGTGGCTGGGAGGAAGGAGAGTATTTTCATGTGAGTGGGATGTGAATAGTTGCGGCTAGAGGGTGAACTGTGAAAGACTGTATTTTAATAAGATGCCTGTATCACATGTGCTCGTCTTATGTGACCTTGCCCCTTCCCTATCAAGAAGTAGAATTTGTTTTTCCTTCCCTTGAACCTGGGCTGGCCTTAGTGACTTGCTTGGCCAAAAGGATGTGCAGAAGGGATGATCTGGAATTATGAGGCTAAGTCATAATATTTATTTCAGCTTCTGCTTGGGTCTTTCTTGATGCTTGTTTTGGGGGCCCCCTCTAGGAATTTGGGTACTATACTGTAATATGACCAAGTCACATGGAGAACCCACATTTTGCTCCCTGACCTCCCAGCTCATAGCCACCCTTAACTGCTATCTATGAAAGTGCTCCATCTTGGACTTCCAGCCCAATTGAGTCTTCATGTGGCAGCAGCCTCAGCAAATAACTGACTGCAACTACATGAGAGACACCAAGCCTGAACCACCCAGCTGAGGCTAGACAGTCCACATCCAAGAGGCAAAATGATTACTTGTTGCTTTAAGCCACCAAGTTTAGTGGAGTTTGCTACACAGCAAACGTTAGCTAAGGAATATGTTCCCATATTACTTTTCTACAGCCCTGGTGGTAACGGTTAAGGGTGCCAACTGAAAGGTTGATGTTTGAAACATACCCAGCAACTCCTCGGAAGAAAGACCTGGCGATCTGCTTCTTTAAAGCCTAGAAGACTCTTTGGGATAGTTCTATGCTGTCTTATAGGGTCACTATGAGTTGGAATCGACTTGACTGACACCTACAACAACAACAGCAACCCTTATAAGGAGCCCTGGTGGTGCAAAAGTTAAGTGCTCACCTGCTGCCTTAGTCTTCTAATACTGCTTTAACAGAAACATCACAAGTGGATGGTTTTAATGAAGAGAAGTTTATTTCCTCACAGTTAAAGTAGGGTAAAAGTTCAAATTCAGGGCATCAGCTCCAGGGAAAGGCTTTTTCTCTCTGTTGGCCTTCTTCTCTTCAGTGTTCCCTCAGACTAGGAGCTTCTCTGCACAGAGACCCCAGTCCAAAGGATGCGCTCTGCTCCCAGCACTGCTTTCTTGATGGTATAAGGTCCCCAACTCTCTGCTTGCTTCCCTTTCCTTTTATCTCTTGAGAGATAAAAGGTAGTGCAGGCCACACCCCAGGGAAACTCCCTTTACATTGGATGAGGGATGTGACCTGGGTAAGGGTGGTGGTACAATCCCACCCTAAGCCTCTTTAACATAAAATTACAATCACAAAATGGAGGCCAACCACACAGTTCTGGGAATCATGTCCCAGCCAAATTGATACACACATTTTTTGGGGGACACAACTTAATCTATGACACCTGCTAACCAGAAGGTTGATGGTTGGAACCCACCAGCAGCTCCAAGGGAGAAAAGATCTGGCCGTGTGCTCCTGCAGAGATTACAGCCAAGAAAACCCTATGGGGCAGTTCTACTCTGTCACATGGAGTCATGTGAGTCAGATTCAACACCCAACAACAATGACAATCTTTTTATTAATATTTGTTATTTTTCAACTATTCTCTATTTCACTTATCTGTTGCTTTTTTATACAAATAGTATATATTTCATATTAATATATACCCATATGATTCTTTTTCCTGATTTATTTTGCTCCTTCCATACTTTTACTACCTTCCTTTATCCCTTTAAGTGTATTTTATTGTGTTTCCTTTTATTTTTGGTCTCTCTCCATTGATTATATTACCTTGGTTTGCAGTTTTCCTTTTATGCTCATCAGAATCCTGATTACCTTTTTTTATTTTAGTCTGTAGGCTTCTGTTACCAGGTGAATCAACCACTCTGCTTGATAAGGTACAGGGTGGAAGAGCAAAGTCTACTCCTAGCCTGTTTCAATCCCAGTGAGGTTAAGGAGACAGGAGAAGATAATCTCAAGAGCATTGTCTGCTGGTCACAAAGCCAGGCCACATTTCCTATCAGAGTTTCAACTCTGAGCACTGTGGGAGGAGCAGCAATGGGAGGAGGCAGTCCCACTCATTTG